GAAAGAGTATAAAACTTTGCCAACCCACAATGAAAAGCAAGAACACATGGGTTTGCCATCACTCATCTGCCACAAAAGCTGCTGCAGGATGACCAGAGGGAAAGAAAAGCCATACAGCTGGATCAAGCCTAGACCATCCAGGAGGTATCTGATGGTGCTCCAACATCAGACCAGAAGGGCCAGACCTGGCACCCAGAGATGCCAACACTCAGTCTGCCTCCCCAGCCAGCCCCCCCCACGCTGCAGTCACTCTGCCCTGGTGCACAGGTTCAGAGCCAATGACCCAGGAGTGCAGCTCTTACCAGAAAGCCCACCCCACAGAGCTCCATCCCCATGAAATGCCTCTTCCCAGTAGATGGGAGGCAATTCCACCACAGCAGATGGCAACTATCTCTCAGGTAGGGCAAGGGAAGAAAACACCTGGGACAAAGGGGAGGGAAGGCCAAGGACACATCCAACTACCCACCCAAAACTGTAGCCAAGGCTCGCTCTGCTGTGCCCCGCAGTGTCTCTCCAGGCTGCCATTCCACTTGAGGCAGGAGCCACAGCTCCTGGTTGCCAATTTTCTGTTTCACCAGAAGCATCAGGTTACTGTCCAGCCTCCTGTCCAGTGACATTCGATTGTTTTTTTTATCAGCATCTGCAAAAAAGTGAACACACACCCTGTTTCACTTCAGACACGAGCAGCCCAGATTTCCAGCTTGACAAAAATCAACAAGAGCAGCAGGCAGAGCTTGGGAACCAAGCAACCATTTTTCTTGCCTGGAAACAACACCCATTTTCTTCATTTTGCTCTGGTAAGGTTGAACACGCACCTCTGGGAAGCATGAGAACACTGATTCCCCTGCCAGTCCCTTAATTCCTCATGTGCTGACAGTGCTGCCACGGAGCCAAGCTGCTCTTTCAAATGAAGCCTCAGCACATGCCCTGCCTCACTGCAGCACCCAGCTGCTCCTGCCAAATCCCTGGGGCCTTCTCGCCCACCCCAAACTCCTGTTACCCCAAATACCTGTCACCCGCGGAGCAGCTTTGAACTGCTGCAACTTCTGTTCCCACTTGTCCTCCAGGTCTTGAGCCATGATGACGGTTTTGCCGGGCGCCTCATCATCATCAAACGTGCTCTCCTTCCTCCTCCGGAGCTGCTCCTCCTCCTCCAGCTTGCGGATTTCATGATCCGAATAGTGGCTTTTCTCCAGCTCTATCTAAGGGCAGCACAGAGCGCTGTGTCTGAGGCCCCAGCCCCGCAGCCTGGGCTGGGCAATCCCAATTCATCTCAGCTTTGCTGAACGCCAGGACGGCGGGAACTTCCCTGAGCACGGGGCGGAGGGAAGCGAGAGACTCAGGGGCACCCGCACCGCTCGGCCCCGGTTATGTGAAAAGCAGAGAAAGGGATTCCTGGTTTAGAAATCCAAATTAAGGTATCAGCAGGAGATTTGCAGACTGTTTAGAATATTTCTAATTTGTACAAGCCCATGTGGATCTATTCTTTTCTTATTTAATGGCACATCCAGAACTTTCGTTGGCTTCAGAGCAATTATTCTGACAGCTCTGGGAACTTTCCCAATAAGCCTGCACCAAAGACCATTTAGCTACGTGAGAATGCTTCCAGTAACATCTGTATGCTCTGGTCTGGGCTGGATAGGCAGGTACTTCTGATGTCAGTACTACTGAAGATAGTCTGTGCTCTTGTTTAAAGAGTATAAACCAAAATAAATTGTCAGATAAGCAGAATTTTTTCCATGTCAAAAGTGGTGACAGCAGGAAAAGCTACCAATAAGAATTGTAAAAATTATATGGACGCTACTGCAGTTTGCAATATGTAATAGCACAGAAATAGTGTTTTTTCTAGAATCTGAGAATGTCACTGATTTGCAGAAATCTCAGATCTAATGAGAGCTGCATTTGTAACTATTATAATATTTACATTTCATATGCATTTTATATTATATATTTGTTATATTTTCAGAGCAGTGACTATATTATAAATACTGTTGTCAGTATTTTGAATTTTGGTAGGTTTCTTTACCTTCAAAAATTTGAATAGAACTTAGATTATCACTATCTACTGTTTAAGGCTGTAACTAGTCCTGTAGAATTAAAAATTCAGGATAGTAGCTAGCCACATGTAAGCTGAGTGTAGGAGTGCATGTTTTCATAATCGGGGTTTTAAATTTTTAAAGAAACTGCACAGGAATCTTATAATCTACTTCAAAAAAACAGGACAATTTTTGGAATAAGAAACATGAATATTATTCACTAACCTAAGGTAGAAAAAATTACACTGTTGAAACTGCAAAATTAACTAAAAAGAGAAAATTGTATTTACTCAATTTGGAATTAATATCTGTCTCAATATCTTGAGATAGTTCCTTCCTTCCCTCCTTCCCCCCTTCCTTCCCCCCTTCCTTCCCCCCTTCCTTCCTCCCTCCCTTCCTTCCTTCCTCCCTCCCTTCCTTCCTCCCTCCCTTCCTTCCCTTCCTTCCCTTCCTTCCCTTCCTTCCCTTCCTTCCCTTCCTTCCCCACTATGAAATAAAACTTGTAAAGAGTGAACACTTTGTAACTCGTGTTTTGCTCCTCAGCCTTTTAATCCTGCAGAGGAGCTCCATGAGATGGAACGGGAAGGTCTATGAAGAGATCCCAATAGCTCACATCAAAGCTACGTACAACAAGTAAGCCGGGGAGCTGCTCCTGCCCTGCCCCTGCAGGGGGAAAACTGGGAACATCCCCGGGCTGTGGCTGGTTAGGGGATCAAACAGCTGGGAGGAAGAAAGGGGAGTGCTGTGCATGACTGGGAGGTTAATAGTGCTGAATCCAAACCTCAGTGCTGTTCAGGAAGCATAAGTGTCTTTATAGTGTCCCAAAGAGCAGGAAGGCTGTTACTACACCTTCGGAGTACACTCTGATGTGAATAATTAGATGTTGATGGCTTTAGTAGCAGGTCACTCCCAGCCCTCCTCTAGCACTATTGATGTACAGCTGTTGGAAAAACAGTGATATTTTCCAGGAGAGATTGTTGTGCTTCCTTAGTGATCCCTTGTTTTGTTACTTTACAGCTTCTTAAAGCTCTTTCAAGTTCTAGAAATGTTTTGTGTGGTTTTTTAACAAAGAGTTAAAATGCTCCCAGTGAGAGGTGGTTCTGAAAGGGCTGAGCAGTCTCCCAGGTGTACCTGGATAAAGTGTACCTGACCCAGAAAGGTTTTGTCACCTCACTCTGATTCTCAAGGGTGACCTCAGAGGTCCCTGCAGCTACTTGGGTAAGTGGGATACCTGAGTGAGGGAGGCTTGGAGAAGGGAGACGGGAATTCTGGGGCGAGCTGTGCCAGAAAGCTGAGTGAGAAGCAACTGGAGAATAAAGGTTCCTTCCAGCTTGCTGCTTTCTTTTGCCCCTCTCGTGCTGCAGCACCCACATCCAAGTGGTCAGCTTTGACAACAGCCCCCTGGCCCGCACCTCCTGCGGCACCGAGGGCTTCCAGAACGCCAAGAAGGGCACGGCCATCGCGGCACAGACTGCAGCCATGGCAGCAGCAGTGGTGAGTCCACCCTGACGGTCCCTCCCCGCTACCTGAGTACGTACCTTGCTTGGTGGCAGCAGTCCAGAGCTCTCTTCCCAAGGGTGTTTGCTGACAGCTTCCCTAGCTTCATCTTCACACAGGCAGTGTGTGTCCAAAGCAGCAGCTGGAAATGCCTGGGTGGTGAACTTAGCTGTGCAGGTTGTGACTAGGAGATGGAACTTGGAGCCTGGGTCCTAAGTCAGCATCTCTCAGCCTTATTGGAAATGTGGTCCCGGTATCAGCAGCAGTTTAATTTTTGCACTGTGGGGGACTGAGAAGCAGCTGTAATTACTGGCTGAATGTTTTACATTTCTTTTCTACCACAGGAGAACTGAGCTGCAGCTTAGCAGCTCCAGTCAGAGAAGGTGATGTCCTTGAATATGTAGTTTCCAGCTGCATACAGTTTACTGTAATTATTCCTGAAAAAACATGTCCAGGTGGCAGGAGAAGATGAGTCTGGCTGTGGCACAGTCCTCATTAAAGCAGAATGATGAGGAAAGATTAAACTGAAAGTCCTCATCCTAAATTAGGCAGAACTCCCTCCAGCCTTTCATGTCAGAGGTGTTTGGTGCTACTGCTGGCCAACAGCTTATTGTGGTTGACTCAGAGGAACACAAGAACTTCTTCACTATGAATCCGTGCTGACCAGAGCCTTGCAATAGATGCAGTGCTGTGCTTGGCCAGATCAATTCTGTCACTGTTGGAAGTTGTTGGTACATGAACTGCACCAGAAGCCAGAGACCTGGAGGAGCTCCATCCACGTGGTGGCAGCACTGCTGTGCCTTACAGCATGTTTTTTGATTTTCCATTTGCAAGCCCCTTAGAATTTTTGCACTGAAGGTGTGGGCTCCTGCACAGCACATACAAAGCTTGCCTGCTTTTCTCATTTACCCTCTAGAAGGAATCCACTGATCACAGGAGAGAATTCACTGCATTAGAGAAGGGAAAACAGCTTTGAGTTAGCCCTTGTTAGTCCCTTGCCAGTTCAGTCACCTATTCATGGATGTGTCAGCTTCTGGTTTTAGGTCACAGATAGTTTGATCTTGAAGCTTTTCCTGTACCAGAGCTGAGCCTGGCACAGACCTTCTCTTGAAACTGCCATGGCTGTACTCAGGCTTCCTTTTCTCCTAGTGTCTTTGTGCAATACTCTCTTGTTTTTACTTAAATAATACTATGATAGTGGGCCAAAAGGGAATGAAAGACTCCTGGGGAACCAGAGCATTAGTAGTTAAATCAAAAAGAACTAACCAGTGGTGCTTTTTGCAGAAGGCACGTGGGAAGGGTGTGTTACATGTACGAGTCATGGTGAAAGGACTGGGACCAGGACGCAAAGTAAGTGTCAGTTTCTTTTCATATTTTCCTTTCTCAGGCATCATCCAGGTGTTTTAAATTCAGGCTGGTCTCATGACTATACCCATTAACTTGCTTTTTCTGAAGGGATTGTAAAAGAATTCATAAGTCAAGTGTCCAGTAATTACATTTTAGAATCATTAGAATTTTAGAGTAATATCACTTTGGAGGCAAAATAAAAGCTGTATTTGGGACTTCTTCCAACTAAAGCAGGAAAACTGTTGGGAACACTGATGAAAGGAGTGGAGCAAATAAGTTTAAAGTGGTTGGGTTGGTGTTGGGTTTTTTTTCTGGTATGAATTACTTATTTTTAAGATACTTACAAAGTAGAATCACTGGAACAAGTTGCTTTTTGGATGGGGGACCAAACCGTTTTCTCCTGAGCTTCTTCCCTTCTCTCCTGCTGGATCTGTTGATAACACTGTGTCATCTGCTGACTTGTTCTTCCAGGCTGCCATCAAGGGTTTGACTATGGGGGGTCTGGAGGTCATCTCCATCACTGACAACACCCCAGTTCCACACAACGGCTGCCGCCCTCGGAAAGCCCGGCGTATGTGAGAGGGGAGGAGAAGAGATACAGCTTCCAACGTCAGCTCATGCAGCAGGGACTGGGTTGAATGTTGCTCTTGAGACAGATTCTGGAAAGCTGCCCTCCCTGGAAATACCTGGTGGAGGAAGTCTGAAAAAGAGAGACCATCCTGGGCCTTGAAAGCCCAGGTGGTAGAAGCAGCAATACCTGTATGCCCTTAGTGGGAAGCCTCCTGTGTAAAATGTTGCTTGATTAAAATGTTGATGTTCTGACAGCTGTCCCTGCTGTGTTCCCAGATGTATTTTGGATGATTATTGCCTCTTGACTGCTCTCTTCCTCTCACCACTGTATGTGGCTCTTGTCTAGCCCTTGGTGCTATTATTGTGCTTGTTAGGAGGAAAGGGAGCTTGAGGTCTACATCTTCTAATCATCTGTAGTAAACAACTGCACAGGGTCACGTCATCTTCCTTCCCTCTTTCTCTCACTGCACACATTTGGAAACAAGGCATGGGGCAACTCTCCCTTCCCCCTGGCTTGCAGAGCTCAGTGTGCCATGCAGGAGGTGAACCCCCTCTTTGCACACCATGGAGCACTGTACTCCAGACCCATTTCTGGCAAAGCTCTGTTGTGGTGCTTTGTTTTGCCCAGGCTGTAGCTGGTCTGTCAGTGCTACTGGCAAATGGAAAATTCCAGTCCTTCTAAAGGGGCTGGGATCTTGCAGTTTTGATGCTTGCCATCTCTTTAGTCCTGCAATGTACACCATAAACATGATTTTCGGGGGACCTGGGTAAAGCAAGCAGGGGGTTAGTAGGCCTGAAGAACAAGGAAATGCTGCCAAGGAGATTTAAAACACTCAAGTCCTGACCTGTACCTCTGTATATGCACAGGCAGCATGAGCTTGTCATGGGTCTGTGATGTATTGTTGCTGTCCCAGCCCCATCCATAGAATTTCTGCCAAGTGAATATATCTGAGGCTCCCTGGAGCATTAACTAGGGAAGGTAACAGCAGTAACTGACTACAGGATTGATTTCCTGGGTGGCAGAGCCTAGCAAAGAGCAGCTCCTCCAATCCAGGCTGCCCAAGAAGCCCTTGGCCATACACAACATAGGCTGGGCAAATACTTCACCTGTAAACAGAGTGTATTTTGCTGCAGCCAGCAGTTCTGTCACAAACCCAGAATCTTCCTTTCTATTATTTCTCTTTCTGTCATTCCTCCTTAGTTTCTTAAATTGCATAATTAACTATTCCTCTTTAGAGAAAGGGTACCATGGCAACAAGGCAGTGAACCTCCTTCGTGGGGCTGAATGGCACACGGCAGGTTTTGAAAGAAATCAGCCTGCTTAGAAGAGCCTGTTGAGTTGCATTTGACAGAAGAGAAGAAAACAAGACTCAGATGAATCTCCTACCTTACTCCAACTGTCTGAATTTGAATAGAGGGTAGGATATCTTAAAGGGAAGTTCCTTGAGCTATCAGAGATTGGACAGTGAGGAAAAGAGGTTCTTCCATAGATGTTTGGCACACTAGAAGAGCTTCCCCTTCACTCCAGGAATAAGGCTGAACTTCCAGTGACTTCATATTCCTCTTTTTAAGACAGTAGGTCAGCCATAAACTGCAAAGATTAACTCCCAAGTAGCAGGGCAGCTGGCTGGGGAAAGCATGTGTGAACACTGACGTGCCTTCCAGCAAGGCTGGTTTCCATGCCAGGCACAGTGACCAGCCCTGGGAAAGGAGGAGCACCAGTCCATGCCAGCAGGCTTGTCACTGGGGTACTGCTAACCCAGACACTACCATGCTCTGCCACCAGCTGCTTGGCACGTCACTGCACCAGAAGCATCCACGTCAGATAAAGATGACAGAACAAATTGAAAAATAAGATTGGGAAGAGATTTTCGGTCCTTCCCAAATTCAGGGAAGAGTAGGTGGATGACTCGAGAGTCAGAAAGCCACGAGAATACATCTTTTGTCTAACCCACACTGAATCAAGGCTGTGCCCTTTGTAAAGGCCACTCCTTAACACTCCCGGTTTCTGAGCTTTTGTGAACATTTTATGAAGCCCACAAATACACCACCTCTGCTAATACAGTGGGAAGTTTTATCTTGCTGTCTGCCCTGCCTAGTTCTGCTACCTACCTCTATTTCTTCCTTGAGCTGACATTTATACAGAACTCTCCACCCTGGACGGCAGAGGCTGACGCTGTTCTCTGTGGTTCAGTGGCTGGATCTGTTCAGCATCATGCAATATTTTCTTCCAAACCCTCAGCTCCACGTACCTTCCCTGAGCTCTCCAGCACTGTGCTCCAGTTGTGCAGAAGTCACATTTTCCACCCTCCTTCTCTCCTGATGCAGCATCCCCAAAGCCATGGCCTGCCTGAAGGGTTCAGGCTGAGGTGTGTATTGTGCAGCACACCCCAGCCCCTGGGGCAGCCCTCAGGGCAGAAGGGGAGCAGAACTACACAAAACAAGCTCCCCCAGCCTGTGCAAGGGCTCAGTGGCTCCTCCCTGCACACGCTGCACGGTGGAAAAGGTCTAAAAGTCTCTATTGTTGTTCATCTTGCAGGGAATTAACAGACACCAATAGCACTTAATGATTTCCTTACCCTTCAGATGAAACTCTTAATTAAGGGCCTGGTTTTAGCAGCCACTGGTGTTTACCAGTTCTAATTGCTTTTCTTGGTGCCTGGGTGGAATACTGTTTTCTGCTGGCTCACTTTCCTCCTGAGCAGCAATTCCTTGTCAGTGGCACGGCCACAGCATTAGCACCTTCATTAGGGTCACATCCACTCCCTTTGGGCTTCCCCATTGACTTTGGGACATTTTTCTGTCTACTCCCTCCTAACTCTGGATTCCCTACTCTCAAATAAGCCTTTTCCTGTGAAACAAGCTCAGAAGGTGCTACTGACCACAAAGCTTCATCCTGGTTCAACCCTGGCCTAACTGGGGTTTTGCCTTCCACCTTAAAGTACCACCTGGACCGTTTACCATCATATAGGGGGTGAAACACAAACCAGTGTTCTGACTTACAGATAAAATGCTGCCTCAGGTCTTAATGATTGCCACACCACCTCAGGGAGTTAGCCTAACTCAGTTACCCTTCCCTTGGACAGGGAGGGCACCTGCTGGCTTGAAAAAAACCAGCCTCCAGCCTTCTTCCTAATAGTTTATTGTTCTGCAAAGAAGAATTATTTCCCCACCCCCAGCAACAAGGACTTTCTACACAGAGCTGCAGCTTTACCTGCTGAATTGGAGATTTACTATTTGTGATGTGAGCATCTCAATGACAAGAGCCAGGCAGCCAATTTCGATCCCTTTGTGAGATTCAATTAAACCATTAATTAAGTGATGTCAGTGTCCTTTAACAGCTGACTGTATATACAAGCAAGCCAGGAGAAGGGGACAGACCCTGCAGTGCTAATAAACTGTAGCAGCAGGGGTGGTTTACCGCAGTCCAGCTGCAGCTGTTAGGGACATCTGCACAGGTTTTGCTGGCTTTCCCTCTGGTGCAGGATACCTGGCTCGAGATGTGCACAAAGCAGGTCAGTCAGTAGGTGTTTATAACTCTAGAGCACCCCTCGGGAACTTTGGAGAAGCAGCAGTTCAAGTCAGGTTCTGTTTTTGCACTCAGACTTTGGCAGATAATCACAGTGCTGCTTTCATGCCTGGAGTCCTTGCCTGGCCCCTCTTGCCTTCCCAGCTGCCTCTCCCATCTCAGTTCATGATTTCTCAGACCAAAAAGATATCAAGGACCCTAAGATTGTGTTTGTGCTTTTCCAATATTCTCCTCTCCCCTCAAGAGGCTTTAATGGATACTCCAGTGGGAACTGCTCAGAGGTTTTACTAATGAGCTGTCTAATAGCATTCAAGTTTCTGTGCTGATGGGGGCTGTGGGGTCCTCTTCGGGAGCTGCAGAAGGGGGCCAAGCCTTAAGACTCTTCCCTTCTTTTGAAGCCACTCATGCCTCCTCTGCTGTGCTCTCCAAACACCTCCTGCACTAGATCCACTTGGCAGGCTCCTTTCCCTTCTCCAGAGTTTGTAAGTCTCTTCCTTATACCCAAATCTACCATGAGTTGGAGGCTGTGCACAAATCCAGGACCTCTCAGCAGCTACAGAGCCCTAACAGCCATTGCTTGGGACAGCTGTTCCCAACAGCAGCTTCCCAGCTTGTTTTTCTAGAGAAAGGGGGTAGAAGGGAGAAAGGATTGGATGTGAGGGGCTGAGTGCTAAATGAGGGTGCAGGCAACAAAAAAATGGATAGGGAAAGGGAGAGAACACAGAGGCAAAAATGCAGGAAGAAAAAATACAGCACTAAAGAAACCCTTTCCTAAGGCTAAAATCTCCCACCTGGTGGTCCAAGAGTCAGCACAGAATAGGAGAAGGATGCAGGGAAGGGCTCTCCCACAGCAGGTGTCCTTCAGGATAAGGCTAGATGCACTGCCCTTTGCTGTTCTCCCAGCCAGACCTTCACATCAGAGACATGGAGTGGCCTTGTTCAGGAGCCCTCCCTGCCAGCATGACCAGCTCTTTAGGGCTTTCCCTTCACCATTTTAAAGAAGGCACAAAGAGCATTCCAAAGCTGTATTTAGAAACTGCTCCAAAGCCTCTCCAAGTGGCAATAACAGTCCTCAAAATCTTCCTTACAATTTCAAGCTGGCTTCGAAATCCCTCCTTTGTGCTTCCCCTCTTAACAATTCATTTTGCAAAGCCAAACTCTAAGCTGGAGTGGCTGGGGGTTTTTT